GAAGCAGATTTCAGTATTGACATGTGGATTGCCCTATAGAATGATGAATCTTTTCCTGAAAACACCTCATAGCATATGCTGCAGTTCTCTAGGGAGACTTCAGGAGATAAAATTCTCATAGAAAGCATGCTTGTTAAAAATAAAGGGCAAATATGCTAACTTCCAACTTGGTTGACTATCAACATAGTAATTTAGGAACCAGAGCTCCATAGTAACTGGAATAATAGTTTCCTCTCATTCTCTCAGTCATTCCTTTCCATCAAGGTGGTTTTCAAGAAGTGGTTTCAAGATCAATCAGCCAAGGTTAAGGACAGAAATCAGCTGATCAAAAATATAAAATGAAAATGAAGACTGATGAGATGTAAAAGGATATGCATGCACTCCAGAGAGACTTAATGCCCAGGCATCTGTTACAGTCTGAAGCAGCAGGCTATTCCCAAGCTTTTTCACAGAGAAAAGATTAAGATAAATGTGTGGAGACTTTTTAGGACTTGTCTCATTTAATTATGTTTTATTCCAGCTGGTAAGAGAAAAATATAATTTGTTGATGAGGCAACATTCATTGTGCTCTAATCAGTGCTTATGAAGAAATGGAAAAATAGGTGACAACAAACGCTTTGGCAGCTGGAAGCAGCACAAGAGCTTGATTTAGAAGATGTAGAAAGGAATAATTCCAAAGGGAGGATAAGGCAAGAAGTCCTAGCATAAAAAATGTGTTACAAGTAAAGGCAAATAAGCCCTTTAAAATGACAACCCATGATTTAAAATTAGCAGTTGTGGTAGTGAGCACAGTTTAATGTATATTTCCACAATAGTCACTGATACTTTGGACAGCTCAGTGTGAAAAGCACAAGAGCTCAGTAGTGGACAGTCTTAGCCAGGATAGGTTATCTGCTTCACATCTGATCTGTAAAAATGAAGTACCTCACTAAGGCAGCTGTATCTCTTCCAGTTTTGAAGATAGGTCACTTAAGAGTGAATTTCTTTATGACAGACAGATATGTCCACAGAAACAAAAAAGACCTTACTACACATAGAAATCCATCAGTGTTCAGGGAATTACTAGACATCCAGTAAATTAGGCATAAAATTATTTTATAAAAACATTTAAGGAATTTAGTCTCCAATCTATGTTTTCAAAAAAGAGACAAAAAGACATGGAAGTTTAAAATTCTGCACGAGACTCAAAAATGCAATATAGACACAAGAAAACTTAGCTGAAGATTAATTTTGAAAGTAATATATAGGAAGACCTATGCAAATAAAACATATTAAGCATTTTTCAAAGCATAAAACTGGTTTTGTTCATAATGCCTACATAGAAAGGGAAGGATCCTCCAGTAATTAATATATTAGATTTTGCAGGCCAAAAATAGGAAGTGTCTTTTTCTTGTACACAGACTGATGAAAAAGAAGGGACAATATGGATTTATGAAGTTGATACACAACACTGTAAGAAAACAGCATGTTGCTTTGAAATGGTACAATGGATTGCAGCAACAGATAGAAATAAAAAGAAATTTCACCAATTGAGATTTTTGATTATACAGATCAGAAAATGTGTAATTGACAGAAGTCCAAAAAGCAGCTGGTGTGCTTTACTGAGGTTCTAGTTTTCCTCCTAATCACATCTAAATTGTGAATTTAACTGGTATTTTCAATCCAAGAAACTAGTAAAGGCAGAGTGATAAAGGTTTGGTATTTGAATGCAGCAGGTTTTCAGATGACACAAGACACTGCTAGTAGACACAAAAAGACAATGCTACCTAGCACCAGGAAGATCTATTACTGTTGCCACAACAGGAAAAAATACTATATGAAATTCTCAGTTCACAGAAAATGAATAGACTTAGTGTCAAGCAGACTGGGTTCATAGATCGGTCATCAGCCTGTACAACAAAGCAAGGAACTTCCAGAGACTAACCATCCTAACTACTGAGATTCAACAGCAGCAACAAACAAGATACAGAGGTGCAATGCAGAATCTGTCTGTTCAAAAGTAGAATTGTCTTTTGGGTGGAACTAAAAGAGGAAAATAAAATAGAAAAGCCCTCAAGCTAGCACATAAATCTTTCCTAGCTCCTTGTCTTGTTGAGTGTGTAAAGATTACAGCTCTTTATAGATCATTCTAAAATTGGAAGGAAAATCCAATGGTCTTGCAAATTAAGAAAAGGACTGATATAGATTTATATTTCTCTTTCTATGGAAGTATTTTGAAAATTAATTCTTACGTATTCTTGAAGCTTTTACTAATTTCTTCATCTTTTCTTAAATATCACAATACCACTAATTAATGAGTGAGATCCAAGAGACACCATAGAATGGTACTTTCCATTTTAGATGTATCATGCTCTTACATGCCAACATGGTTTGGAAGACATGGTGAAACAATAACACCACAAAACCTTTGACACAAAAATGGGAGGTTTCAATTTTAAAATAAATATTCTATACTGAACACTCTGATGATCTGTAATTACAAGACATTATATCATAAAAGACATACTAAGCACTGCTCCAAACAAAGGCATACCTTATTATGAAACAGAAAGTAATTATTATGAAACACTGCTAGTTAAACATCCATTATGGAAGGATTGTTATGGAGTAGAAAACTTCTTAATAAGGAACTCTGGGTAGACCCTATTAAACTAGTGGCACTCAGTCTAGGAGTTTCACAACACCAGGACTGTAAAATACACCATCAGCTGTGCAATACCTAACCTATAATCTGTGCTGAAAAGATATACCACTATACTGCAAAGTCCTCTTCACAAACACACTTTTAAGTATCTCTCTTTACATGACAGATAAAATTTTTGAATTTTATTTTCAAACAGGTCTTTATCTTTTGAATAATGTTCTTCGTTGTTTCTGCTTAGTATTCAGCAGGAAATTCAATTTTCAATTTAGACCTGTTTCCTTTTACGAGCAATAACGTTAGAAAATGTTATCACTTACTATTAAGTCATTCTGCATTATGAATAAAATCTGTAGATTGTCTTACATAACCCTACATCTTTTATTTCTAAATGTGTTATCAATATTTGATTGTACCAGTTAAGAAATATTGAAAATCTCTAGATATGAAGGCTGGTATAAATTTATGTGTAAAAAAGATATCTTATACAATTCTACAGAAATAAAACTTCTTTGCTCAGTATAAAATATATTCTGTATTGCTTTACAATTAAGATAATGCTTCCAATTACATAAGGAATTAATGGTGCTCATCACAAAAACAGAGAAGTGAAAAGAAATGTCAGCATTATTGCTCTAATATCTGGTATTTCTATATAAAAATAAATATTCCTTCCTGTTCTGTTAGTGAGCTCAAGTGGCCAAATACCTTAATTTAAAAAATAGAAAAAAAAATCAGCTTCAAGAAAATCTATCTTTGCTAAAAAATCATGTCAAGGCACATTCTCAAAGCATAAGTAGGAACTCAGCCATACAAATCCTACTAACATTAGTGGGAGCTACCTGTCAAAAGCACTGTGCATCATGCTGAATATGTCCTTCAGTGATACCAGTAGGGTTAAAACTTTTGGACATATACATAAATATTTTATGTTTCATATTTCACAAGATAACAGTTGTGATTTATGCTTGGCTGTGCTTTCAGAGGTATCTGTATGGCAGGAACACCTCAGAAGCTATTGTACTGTCTGGAACACCTCAGAAAATATTGTACTCTTTGTTATATAGTCCACTAAAACAGGGGTCTTTCAAGAAACTTTCATGATAACCCTGGCTCTTTAAAGCAGACTTTTCAAAATGGCACACAGTAAAGTCTTCCATTACAAAATGTGTTTCAGTTTCATCTATATTACTTCAATACTGCATGTACTTCATCTACAGGTGATAAATTACCCTTAAACTGGTTTCTAAAAATATTTACTTCTTCCTAATATAGGAATGATACAACTTCTCCAAAATGAAACAGAGAGTATCAAAGAGAGATGGAGAATCCTGATACTAAATACAGCACAATAGAAAAAGAAATATATGAAGATTTTCTACTGTGAACCACAGCACAAAATCATGGAAATCTCAGGACTGAAGTGAGATTTCATTATCAACTCAAACAAAAAGACCCCATCTTATAAAAGAGATAAAAGCCAATATAGTTCACATGCATTTGATTAAAAAAATTGCAAGTGACTACAAGGGGAAAAGAGATTTCATACACTGCTCTGAGCTTTTTCTGCTGTTATGACAAACGCCAAAGCCACATGTAAGTCTGTATTTCTGTGAGCATCTGAACTCAGCCCTAGTGTTAAGAAGGAAATGGTAAACATATTGGGATTTTTTGACAAAAGATGTTTTTCTGCTCATTTGGGTTTAAAAAAAAACTGATAAAAAAGTGAGCTATATATATATAAAGTAAATTTATAATTTAACAATTCAGGTATCAAGTTCCTTAATTCTAAAAGCTCAACTAAGCTTCCAAAAACAGTGCACTCAGAGACTTTAAATTCTGTGAAGTATCTCAGGAATTTCAACTAGCAGAAAATTAAAAAATAAATATTGTTATCCTACTTCAAAGATACTAATCTACACAAATTTACAACTGATAGAGGCCCAGATTGGACATCTAGAAGTAACATGGGCAGCTAAGTACTCAAATTGAGATTGAGCACCACAGCATAAAAACAAATCAGAGTAACAAAATAAAACATGCAAACCCTGGATTTCTAAATGCAGACTTATTGGGAAAAGCTATTTAAAAAACTTTCTAGTGTCTCTATATTTTTAAATAAAAGAAAGAATCTAGCTAGCATACTCAAGACTTAGGGAAATAGTCCAGTAACAAACTGGAGACTTAGTATGGCAGTGGAGAATATTAATAGTGAGAACCCTCATCATTATCCTTCTGTAAATCATGAAGTTTAAATATAAGAGCATGAAAGTAAGAAAAGTTTTGTGACTTTTGACAATTATTAGTAAGAAAAAAATGGTAACAATTGCCAAAAAAATCACAAAAGTTGACATGTTACCTGGCTATGACAAAGAGCACACAACTGACACCCAAGTAAGCCAGCAGAATATACATCCAGATATCAGGGGAGAGAGGATTCAGGAAGGAGAAGACGCCCGGGTTTGTACCATTGGGCTTGCGGTACAAAATACTTATTCCAAGAGTCATAAAGGGCTTGGAAAAGTCGATGACCTTCTCACGAACATAGGTAATTGCCAATGGAGCAACTGCAAGGTCAGCTTTCTGTTGACAGAAATACAAAAAGAGAAAAAGGCCATAAGTCAGAAGCAACAGGCTGAAGCAGACAATAAGATAATGCAAAATACAAACTTTGTATGGAGGATGTTTGTTCTTGTACTAGGTTGCCTGAAATTTAAAATTCTTCTCTCTATAACTAAGGAAACAGATTTATTCTACTTCCTCTTTGCAAAACTGACATAGCATTTAGAAAAAATTAAAAACACTAGTACAAAGATACAAATGAAGAAAAATATTGCATCTTGCAGAAAACATGAACATCTGTTATCACATACTTTAAAACTTTATTTTTTGTGCATTTCAGCTTATGTCTTCTCTTTGTCACTCCCTCACTGTGCTTTTTAGAAGCAAATATATTTGTGAAGCATATGTGAATATACTAGTATGAGTGCAGGGAAAGAACCAGAAAGCAGTTCTTCATATTTTAGGATAAAAATGGTACAAAATGAAGATCAGTTTAAAACTGAAAGTGCTACACCTGCAAGGTTGCTGAGGATGTTCTAACAAAGTACAACTGTCCTTACTCACTTGTGGGAATCACTGCAAAACTTACAGATAGTTATTAATTAGTTGGACTACTTAAAATGAATTCATCAATTGAATGCATTTTGTCAATTAACCTTTAGTTTTAGTTATTACAAGAATAAATCATAGGAGATTAGTAAATGGCCTATGCTATTCTTTTAATCAAAACCTAATGGAAACCAGAGTGACCAAAAATCTACAGAATCTACTTCTTAATCTCTGTCAACACTAGAAATACTCCTGTGTATGCATGAATGTGTATGTGTGTGCACATACACACATAAGAAAGAGGAAAGTTCACAGTGAGAAATTTTATAGTGCAAGACCTGGAAAGCTGTAAAATAAGAATTCTTTATAAACCATACCAAAATACAGGTATGTAATGACAGAAATGGTATAGCTACCATGGAGTACTGTTACCTAAGAAATATATCCAAGTAGCATAGTTACAAATGATACCATTTTCAGAATGCCTGTTTTAAGATACAGAGATATGATTCCAAATAAAATAAATCCACACACTTATGTACTTTTTGCTCATTTGATATTGTTTATACTGTGTAACACTCAAACTTCCATGCAATGTAGCATTTCAGTGTTCCTTTTTATTTTAATTTTTATTTTCTTACCTAATACAAAGTCCTTCTATGGTCTATTCTTGTTATGAACATTTATATAATTAGATCTACTGTAGTCAGTTGCAATATGAAACTTTGTTGACACTGTTAATTTTATTTGGTAAGGGTTTACTGGTCAAAAAAATTACATGCATTTCATTTCCATTGGTATTAAGAACTTATTAATCAAAACAGCAAGCCTTAATTCCACAGTGGATGACTTTTTATAGATTGCATATTATTGATGATATTCCAGCTGATGTAGAAAGAAAATGGTAAAGTAAGAAACCAAAACTAATTTGAATTAAAAGTTATAGGTCAACATGAAGAAGTTTAAAAACATAACAACCCAATATTAGTTTGTGAGGCAAGTAGCAGACCTTAACCAAAGAGTCTGAAGGCAGCTGACTAGAAACTGTTAGAAGAGGCAGCTTCCCAAAGACAGATAAATTAGATCTTTTGGAAGGCTATTGGTAGATGTGAATTTTGGTCTTATTATATTAACAGAACCTTAATGAATAACAAATAATTTATTTTAATAAATACCATGGAAAATCCAACCCTTAACCATTAGATGGAAACAAGAACATATGCAAATGAACATAGGTTGTAACTATCTCTAGTGGAGCCAAGTTGCAGATGAAATTAGAAGAATAATTGATCAAGAAATAATATGTCACATATGACAGAATAGAAATGATATTCCAATCTGAGACGACAGATATAAAATTTATGTACATAACTTGACATCTTAAGAGTCTCTTCAAAGGTGAGTAGCTCTGTTTGAACTAGAATACCACCATAAGAAAAATTAAGCATCTAACAAAAAAAAAAAAACAAAAAAAAAAAAAAAAAAAAAAAAAAACCCAAAAAACCAAAATTTGGAGTCTTTAATACCTGAGGAAATGACTAACTTGAAAATGTAATGCTACCACACACAACTTTTGTTAATATCATTTATCTCAAATCATTAATTCTCCTGGAAATTCTTTCATTCTGAAAAGAGCACTATTTGTAAATATGAGAAAGCAGGGGAAGCAGGGGCCATGTTTGTAGAAGTGCAGTACCAGTTCTCCTACGCTCAGTTATAATGAAGATATAGAAGGAAGAGAATCATCTTTAATTTACTTCTAGCCACAAATAGGGGAGGAATAGTGTAAAATTAGTATTTTATCAGTTGACATTTAATAACATTAACAAATTAGTGTATCCTAACATGGCTTTTTGATAAGTTCTATTACAAAGAATATTTTTCTCATTTGGTAATGATAAATTATTCCATTTTTTGTAATGAAGGTATGCATGCTTCTAATCTTTAAATTAATAAAATGTATATCTATCTGAAAACACAATCCATAATAGCACTTAACTATTTCTTGAGATGACAAAAATTTTTATAAGAGCATCCAAGGATTGGTGAGGTAAGCTAGTTGCCACAAAGAAAAAATCTGCAACTAAAGGTTACAATAGTGATTAGAAACAGTCTGACAAGGACATTCCAATGCGAGGCATGGTCCTGAGCAAAATGGAGGAGTTGTACAGCCTAATCTATGATATGTAGAGCACTGCACTGCAGATAATAAGCTGTAGTTGTGCATCCTCTCCCTGCCTGTCCCAACCATCCCTCAGGAACCCAGGAGCTCCTGATAAACCTGGACCAAACCAGCTGAGCAATGAAGCACCCCCTTGATCATAACAGTAGGGCAGTAAAGAATCCCTTGAAAGCACCAGAAGCTCATCCATGATACAGGTAGGAATAACCCTGACCATAACACCTACCTGACCAAGGTGGGGACAAAGGATAAACATTCACTCATGTATAAAGCTTCCCTGTCTTGCTACCACGTGCACTTGTAGGACGCTCATTCACCAACATCTCAAGGTAACCCTGATTTATTTCTGATACAGAAGTGCCTAAGGTAGGCTGAAGTCATCCTCCTTTGCTTCGTCCCTTACATTTTACTTCCAAGCAGTTTGTTCAGTGACTGTTTTACATCAAGTAGTATTCAAAGAGAAAAAGGGAGGACATTTTTCTTCATTTGTACAGTTTAAATTTGGCACATAACCTCTAAGAAGAGAGATTTTAAAATCATACTGAATTCAATCTATGCTTGCAGATAAAAATAATTTCGGCAAGAAATCTGCACTTTAATGCTGAGTAGTGTATGGCCATAGCATGCACAGAAATTTGGTATTTGCAGAAAATGATGCTTTTTCTGTGAAAATTAACTCTATAAACCCTGGAGAAACAATCACAATAATTTTGGGGGAAATAGAATCTTTAAAGAATTTCATAGTTTCTACTAATAACACCAGGGAAAGGTAAAACAAACACCAGTTGAATTTTCTATTGCTGATAATTTTATGAAAAGCTTTTGTCTCACCTATTTTGTTGAAAAAAATGAAGAATTTAAATATAATCTAGACACAGAAATAATAAAACGGCTAATAGCTATTTTTAATTAGACACTACAATTATACAATACTTCACCAAAATATCTGAGTATTTCAAACAGTGTGAATGGAGTCTTCTGGTAAGAATTTTGCTCCTAACATTTTGCATTGATTTAGCAACAATTAATGTTTATACTATAAATGCAAAGGGAATCATACACTATTGATTCTCTGTTGTCTTTTCAGTCAATCAGTACAATCATATTGTAATTGTATAATATGCTCAAAACTACACATACACTGAAAAGACATTTAAGCAATTTTACTTCTCTACAGGCAGCAATGCACTTATTACCTGCAATTACTCTTGAAAATAAAGGAATTTGCCTTTTTTTAAAAGAAAAACTTAATACAGCTTTTGTTTAATCTACTATGTTTCCTCAACCTAAAACCCTAAGTCAATATGTAAATTTCTTCAGGTCAAATTTTTGAGACTGTTAACCTGAGTTGAATTTCAGTTATATTCCCTTTGGAGAAAATGCATCCTCAAGATAAAAGAGGAAGGTTAAAGCACAGCTTCAATTCTTTAAACCTGTCTAACACATTCATAATGCACAGAGACCTTATGCATTATTCTTGTTCACAGAAGTGCATTTCTCTGCCACTCATTTGAAAAGATAAGATCTGTAATTTGCTTTTAAGCTTACAGTCTATCCTAAACTGCCTTGTTCATGCTGCTACATTATAGAAAATTTTATACCCCACAAGAAATTTTAGTCTTATCACAAGATCTTCATTTCCTTTGAAACCACTAGGAACTTATTAGGGCTTTATCGCTATTTTTATTATAACTAGCCACTTAAATTACTTTGACAGAAATTGTTTCTCTACTGCCTTTTACAGGATCATAGTACAATTCAAGTGGGGAGAGATCAGGAGGTGTCTAGTGCAATTTTCTGTTCAAAACATCTACATGGATGAGACAGTTTTCTTTTGCACTTTACTCAGTCAGTGTTGAAAAACTCCAAGGAAGGTGACTACATGACATTTTTAGATAAGCTGGTCCACTGCTTGTCTATCCACAGAGTGAAAAAGTTTCTACAGACAAGCAGTGGAGCAGGCTGCTTAGAGAGCTTATGCAATTTCCACCCTTGGAGGTTTTCAGTTTATGTCTGTTGCCTTTGGTCTTCCTGCCAGGCTCCTCTGTGAAAAGCCCATATGGAGCTCCTTGATAACCTCCTCACAGGTCCTGGAAAGCTGCTGCTAGAAATTATTACCTTTGCCAAATTTGAGTAACGTACCATAAGGTAAAAAAAAAAAAAAATCCAGATTTGATAGCTGAATTTGTCATATCTTTTTATTTTTGGTATCCTGATAGGTATAATTTAAACTTAATTGCTAATAATATCCCTTATAGATGGAACAGTAGCACTTGCTAATTTATTAACA